CATAGACAGCTAGCATCCAACAGTTAAAAACGAAAAGGACTGGAGCAAGAGTTGGTTCATAAAACATAATCTTGCTAAGCATATTATAGCTTAATGGAATGCAGCTGAAAGAGTCTGTCTAGAATGTTCGAAGAGCGTTGATATTAATCAACCTATCACCAAATCATGGATTTGCATGTGCAGACCATGTGATACACATAAGTGAATTAACCTTTTCAAAGTTAAGCCCATACATTATATGATTGACTTACCTTTGCTGTCCTCTTGTTATTCATCATCTTTATTGGATTAATCTATATTGCCATAACATTGAGATGTGATGTCCCTATGGGCTGTAAGAGTATTTTATTGTGATACACAAGAATATTTGTGTAGAACATTATTTTTGCTAACCTGCAAACAATGTTTAAAATAGACCATTACTCTGTATTTGTTGGTTAGATGCCGTCAAGTTACACTCAAGCCCTGTTAATTGTAAAGACCACTGTATGCCATTTCAGTTTATCCCTGGTGATAATCCACAGCTCATCCAAGGACATTCCAGTGATCTTTCTGATCCTGTCTAACATTTACTGTTTTAATACTTTAATAAATAAATTTCCACTGATAGCTGGTATTTAACTGCATATGTTTTATTTAGGATGATCTATATTGCCCAATGAGCAAATCTTATCTGTATTGTCTTAGAGACAGGAAGTACCATTTTTTCATCTTTATGGAAGTGCAAAGTCTATCTGAAGTTGTATCTGCAGCCCTGCATAGATCAGCCACATATCTTCTATAAAATAGAAGCTCTGTTCAAGCTAACAGATGGCTCCAAGATTTATAAAAGAGAAGTCAGACAACTTTTAAAATCACAGTGTTTTATTTCATTTTGAATGGTCAAGAGCTAAAACAAAATCACCAAAATCTTTCAATATTTGCTGTCTAATATATCAAATTTTGGCTAGCACCAGCATAAACAACAATAGTCATATTCTGTCATTTACTTCAAAAATTATTTGCAAAATGATGTTTGCATTCAATCACAACACATTTAATGTAAGGTAAATCACAGACTTAAAATAATGCTAGCATTTAATTATCAGCAAGGGACAGATGAACCAGTCGCCAGACCAAGGGTATCAAATGAACAACTCTTCAATGAGAGATGTGGATAGACACTGGATTAATAATGCCAGGTGCAGCATTTCACCTGCTCTGGTAATATTCTGAATCTAAAATAGATTGCATAAGAATAAGCGTTTTTAAAGCACAGTCTTCCCCAATATGATGCATTCCGCTGTGTTGAAATTCCGTATTTGGATGGTGCCAAATTGGGGGAGAGAGAGATGACACAAAGTATTCAAAAATCATAAAAGAAACCCTATTTCACGTGCTCAACAGATTTTGCACATACTATTTGTATGTGATACAATATTATTAAAATTGTAACAACAGTCTCTGGAAGGTAAACCTGCATTGTCCATGGTGCAGATGTTGGGATAAGGGTAACAATAGAGTCTTTGTCTATCCATGAAGCTCAAAACAGCAAAGAATTTACGATGTTGTTTCTTGCATCCATTCATAAACCTTACAAATTGTGCCTACACATTCTATGCAAATGTAATATGTGCTTACCCCCCCCCCCCCAAAAAAAAGCTAAGAAAACAAGATCCTGAGTTGGGCAATTGCTAAATCGTCTGAAAAGAAATCTCTCTTTAAAACAAATGAACAAATCAACACAATTAGCAGGCTCCAAATTTGATTTCCTAGCATTTACTAAAGATTGATACTCTATACTTTTTGGCAAAAAAGTATAAAAGTGTTTGGTAGAGATAGCTCCAGAAAGGCAAACACAGCACCATGTTGCTTATTATTAACAAATAACCCAAAGGAAGTTCCTGTAAATTCCTGGTATACATGGTGCACCACACTTGTAATACAGCATAAACATTGGAGTTACCTTATCTCAAAAAGGTTAGGGTAGTCCTTGATTTACAACCATTTATTTAGTGACATTTTAAAGTTACTATGGCACTGAAAAGTGTTTTATAGCTTTATGACTGCTGCATCCCCATGGTCATGTGATCAAAATTCAGACGCTTGGCAACTGGTTCATATTTATGATGGTTGCATTATTCCAAAATCACATGATTATCTTTTGCAAGCTTCTGCCAAGCAAAGTCAATGGGGAAGTCAAATTCACTTAACATCTATGACAAGGTTGTAAAACAGGGCAAATTCACTTAACTGACTCGCTTAGCAACAGAACTTTTGGGCTCCACTGTGGTCATAAGTCAAGGATTACCTGTCCCGTAGAACTAAAAATAATTTCAAAAAGACCTGAACCATCTTTCTTATGAGAGAAGGCTCCAAAATATGATTTAAAAAATAACAACAAACAACAAGTGAAAAATAAAACACTGCATAGTGAAAATGTAAAGAGAAGGGACATTTTCTCATTGGCAACAACTTACATTTGGATTTATTCAATCAAAATAGGAAATTCACAACAGAGGGAGGGGAATTTTAATAGTACTAATGTACAGGTTTTCCTGTAAAAAGACATGGTGAATGCCACTGCGTATAAAATGGCTTTTTAAAAAGAACCAGTTAAGCTTGTAGAGAATAAGTTAATCAATATTTATGAACCATTTGTCTGCTTCTGATTCAGAACACTTTTGATATCAGCTGCCTCCTGTGATAAAACCAATATTTTCCCCATCTCTTCAGTATCTTCCTGACTAGGAAGTAGGTCCAAATATTTATAGGTACACAAGTCAAGCCTGGATTGACCATTAAGCAAAATAAGCATGTGCGTGAGGCACCAAGGGAAGGGGAATACCACTTTTCCCCCTGGTTACAGATAGTCCTCGACTTAACAACAGTTCATTTTACTGATGGTTGAAAGTTACAACGGCCCTGAAAAAAGTTACTTACGACCATTTTTCACACTGACGACCATTGCAGCTTCATGGTCACATGAACAAAATTTGAATGCTTGGCAAATGGTTCATATTTTTGACGGTTACAGTATCCTAGGACGATGTGATCACTTTTTGTAATCTTCTAACAAGCAAAGTCAATGGGAAAGTCAGATTCACTTAACAACCATGTTACTAACTTAACAATTGCAGTGATTTACTTAACAATTGTGGCAAGAAAGGTCATAGAACAGGGCAAAATTCACTTAATAAATGTCTCACTTAGCAACAGAATTTTTAGGCTTAATTATGGTTGTAAGTTGAGGACTACCTGTAATATGCCCTTAAGTTTTTCACTGCCATGCACAAAATAACTTCACAGAGCTTATTGAGTCTTAATATTTTGTCAGTTGAGCAATTGGAGGGATGAGAACCACCATTGTTGGGCCATGCTTAGAGCATCAGTTGGCCTTAATCTAGCCCTGTAAAAGGCATGTACAGTAATCATTGGAATAATTCACTATTAGATCACTTAAGGTAAGTTGTCCTTCAGACTAATCCCTCAGGTTATAAAAGCATCTTTTCCCTTTTTAATGATTGCAAAATCTCAAGACTAAACTGCACTAAGGAGCTCCAGGTATCCCTTGCCCTAATCTTCCATGCTACTTTGGTGAATTACTTACAAAATTTAGGTTGTCAATAGCAACTGTAGCTAAAAGTTCTTTCTTTTTATTTAAAAACACATACATTTCTGTCTAATTCAATCAACCCCCATGTGTCACAAAAGGTAGCCTATCATGATTTTAAGGAAAATAAAAATAGTTCTCATGCTAATTAAGCAGATGCAGGAAAGCTTTTGAAGCATGCAATAAAGAATATCCTGTTAAGGGAAGACTCATATTTGTACACTTTCATGTCCAATTTAAGGGGACATGGATACCCGGGGGGGTATCTTCCAGTGCACTGTGGGAAAAGGATGCTAGATTGTTCTAGCTAGATTTCCTAAAACAGCATATAAATTAAGGAAAATTACTGACAAGTTCAGGAAAAAAAAATCAAGCAGACCAGCTGTTTTCAGAAATACTGCTCATTTGTACATGATTGAAGATGAAGTTGCCAAACTGAACTAATACATAATTTAAAGGATATTACATCTATTGTAAGACTGCATAATTATGCTTTCTAGCAAGGTTCCTATTTAACATTTGTTAGCAATTAATGTTAACAAAGCATCAGCAGCTAGATGAGAATATACCTACAAAATGAACAAATTTCTAATTTGTCATCTTAAACATGATAATATAATCTTAAATGCCTTGATTAATAATGCACTTTAATTATATGGTTTGGTTCAATTAAAAAGCAGTATTTATGATGGGTGAAGTAGGATGAACTGATGTTAAAAATTAATTTCTAAATCAAAATGCAGCGCTATGGGATTTCCCCCCCCCAAAAGTGGCTCTCCTGAGTTACGAAGAACTTGTTCCTAAGTATCTGTGTATGGAGCTGCAGGTTCCTTTTTGGATTTGAGACACTTAGTTATGGTCTTCAAAACACAAAGGAATATGTTTGAGGAAATATTTTGTGCCCCCAAAGGATCAAGGCGGATTTAAGGCTTGGAATAACAGCTTCCAAGTACCGTATTTTGCGGACTATAAGGCGCACCTTTTTCCCCTCAAAAAAGAGGCCCAAAATCTGGGTGCGTCTTATACACTGGATGCAGCATTTTTTGCCTCTGAAACCCCGCCCACTTCTCCAAAATGGCTCTGCAGAGCCTGTAGAAGGCTTTCAGAGAGCTCCTGGGGGTTGGGGAAGGCAGAAATGAGTGAAAAACGGGCCATTTGTTCGCTCAATTTTGCCCTCCCAGCCCCCAGGAATACTCTATAAGCCTCCTAAAGGCTATGCATGCAATTTTTTTTGACAAAATATGGGCCTGTTTTTGCAAAAAAATGGGGGTTTTGCTCATTTTGGGGGAAGGCCACCCCCCTGGAGCACTCTGCAAGCCCCCTAAAGGCTATTCATGCCTTTTTTGGGAAAAACAATGGGCCCATTTTCGTGAAAAACGGGCCATTTTGGGGAGGTTTGCAGAGTGCAAAAAAATATTTTTTTTAATTTGCCTCTTCAAAACCTTAGTGCATCTTATACTCTGAAAAATACGGTAATTCCATTGCTGACTAATTGGCTACAAGTAATGCATTCTCATCATTGCCATAAAGCAGAAAATGACATATTCCAAAACCCATACTTTTGTCACCATGAAGATGTAACAGAAAGAAAGGCTCAGATTTGCCCAGATAGTTCTCTCTATACCCAGACACACAAACACACACAAAGAAAAAAAGAAAGGAGATGGAGTGCTGCTCTTCCTGGAATATTCTGAGCTCTGTTCCTGATAACACCCTTTAAAGGTTTTTGTCCAGGAGAAGTCCATAGGCACCAAGTCCAGGCAGTTCTCACTCATAAACCCTTATTAAAATAGGCAAAAGTCACTTTGTCCCCATGTTCAGCTACAATTCGTTCTCTGAGTTCAGGCTCCAGGTGTGAAAGTGCAATTGAACTAAAAAGAGGGGGGGAAAAGAAAACACATTGTTCCCCTAAGTACTAAAGGCTGCTTGATACTGGCCCAAAGTGTGTTATTGGTGTGACGTAATATTGGCAGAGGAGACAAAAATCGATTATGAGCTCTGTCACAGATAATTGTGGTGTAAGACAGAGCTGATAATTTTACTTGCAAAATAAGGGCTTCCCTCATTGTTTCCACAACGAAATGAGTGAGTGCCGCTGCAATAATCAAGCAAGGTTGAATTGAAATGACAAGACTTGGGAAGTGGGTGCCAATCACTTCTCCTTGGAAAAGAGCCAAGGTGGCGCAGTGGTTAAAAAGCAGCACTGCAGGCTACTGCTAGATCAGCAGGTCAGCGGTTCAAATCTCACCGGCTCAGGGTTGACTCAGCCTTCCATCCTTCCGAGGTGGGTAAAATGAGGACCCAGATTGTTGGGGGCAATATGCTGACTCTCTGTAAACCGCTTAGAGAGGCCTGAAAGGCCTATGAAGCGGTATATAAGTCTACTGCTATTGCTATTGCTATTCTTCATGCAGTGAGCTGTCTTAGGCCAGCCCTGACCATGAAAGGCACTTGGAAACCACAGAATGCTCTAAATCAAGCTTCCATGCTGCAAGGCCTCTTTTTACAATTGACCTAGGAATTCAAACACAACGAGTCACAGTCACAGCTTCTTGTGGTTGGATTTGGGAAGCAATAATATACTGCATGTTTTCAAAGTTTATCTTTAAATGAGAATGTACATGAGTGGGCAGAACTATTCTATACAAAAGAATGGCTCCCAATATGTAGGTGAAACCTCCTGTCACGGGTCAGCATAAATAATTACTCTCTAGATAAGAAGGAATAATTCCCACATTAGCTTTTTCAACTTGATGTAGTCCAGAAGCATTGGAATGGCCCTCATCATCCAGAGCCAGTGTAGCCATTGTTGAGGATGATGGGACTTATATCCAAACTAATAACTGCATAGCTTTTTGCAGTTAGCCACAATAACAGCAATATGATGAAAAGTGTGTTGTGACATTCACATACAAATAAGTAAGGGGTAGATTTTGCATCATAAGACAGTTTGCTCACTCAATTCCAAGGATCCCTAGGGCTAACTTTATGGAGTGCTGGTCCTGCAGCGCCTCCCCCCCCCCCACCAATCCCATGCCTTTCTAGTTCAGATTATATACAAATTGTATAGGGCAGTCAGGAGGGACAAAAGGACAGAAAAGAGATTGGTACCTTCTCTGTGGGAAAAGTGCGCAGGCAACTGGGACCATGAACACAAGGCTGCAAGGCAAAGGCAGATTATTAAAAAGAAAGGCCAACATTTTTTTTCTCCATAGGGAATCCAGATCTGCGTTCTCAGGTTCAAAACAGCTAAGCAGAAGTTATATATTTGGCAGGATTCTTTACAACAAGATGCACTGAATTTTAAAGCAGTTTGATGCCCATTCCCATATTCAATGCAAACATATGTCTTTTCTTTTCCACATATAAATACAGATGAAATTTGCATTTAACCATGGTTGCTTGACCAAGCATTAAGCCATTGCTTGTTAAATATCCCACACATATCCTAAGCCACAAACTTACTTTTCAATCCACAGTTCTTGAGTTCATATTATATTTTAATGCTATGATGCAAAAAAAATCTTCTGGTACCCCCCTCCCCCAAATTCCTTATAAAATGGGTGGCTTTTCATAAATCACCGGGAATTACAGCACTGGCTTCTGAAAGTAATGCATGATACAGAATACTTACAATCCTCCAACAAGAACTGTTTGCAAGGGAGCATGGAGAACCTGGATTTTCTGCCAAGAAAACAATATGCGTGAGATGATTCCAAGAAAGTAAGAATTCAAACTTTCAGTTTCTAGAATTAGGGCTGAGATAATAAAGAGAACTAACAATACAAATCTCTTTTTGGGAACCAAGAGCACAAAAAGTTGATTAGATACAACAAGCCCGTCAGTTTAGGGTTCAGTATCAGCAATATGCTGATATGCTTAAATAATATGCTTAGCCAGTATGGAGACACTATTAATCTCTTGATCTGTTATCTAGAAGCTTTTTAAGAACTGAAGGGGACTAAAAGGCTGAATTCATAACGTATCACAATGTTTTTTGCTTTTGCAAAGTTGGGGTGGGTATAGCCTGCGCGTGAAGCATCCAGCCCATGGGACACCAGATTGACACCCTTGGAGTAGAGTCTTATAGGTGCTGCTTTTTAGTAGCAACCCTTATATTACAGAATACTGTCTCATTAGAAAGTAAGTTGGCTCCAGTTTTGACATACCAGAAAGCTTTGAAAACTGAGCTATTCTGAGCCACGTTGGCACAGTAGTTAAAGTGCAGTACTGCAGGCTACTTCTGCTGACTGACTGCTGACTGACTGCAATTTTGCAGTTCAAATCTCACTAGGCTCAAGGTTGACTCAGCCTTCCATGCTTCTGAGGTGGATAAAATGAGGACCCAAATTGTTGGAGGCAATATGCGGACTCTGTAAAACCGCTTAGCGAGGGCTGTAAAGCACTATAAAGCAGCGGTATCAAAGTCTATTGCTATTGCTATTCTGGAAATTTTATGGTGAATAATAAGATGCCTAAACTTGTCTGCTTTTATTGTATTTTTAGTTACTGTGGCTAGAACTTGGCTTGTTTTCATTTTTATTATGGATGTTTTAATTTATTGAATAAATGATCATTAGATGAATTCTGATAGCATGCTTAACTTAACCCAACAAGCCACGATAAGCCTTATTGTGGTATGCAAGTATAACAAACAAGCTTTTTCTGGTATTCTATATAATTTTGAACAGTAGCAACTGGATGCTTTTTAGGGCTGTCTATAATGACTTTTTTTTAAAAGTCACAATAACAATTAATAATTTGTGTGATTTATTTATATAATAAACATATAAACTACCTATTTCATATAAATGACCCCACAGAACTAACAATTAAAACTGAGCTTAAAAACAATAAAACCAACCAAAAAGTATAAATAATTTGTTACAATTGCTTAATTTTCTATTGGAGGCTTGCCTTGTTTTTCTTGTTTCTGTTGGTAGCAGTAGATTTGCTACTGAGTTATGTGCAGATGATCTATTTCAAATCTTTAACAAATGTATTATATTGCCAAAGTGAGGAATACGTAGAACTTCTGCTAGCTATTTGGTTATCTGCATAACTATCTAAAATCTCTGACCTCTTATTATTTCAGCAAGAACAAACTACTGTAATTCATTCCATTTCCCAAGTACCTTACCTTCATGAATGGATATTTCTCTAATGCCTCCATGATAATAGGCAATAAAACTAAAAAGAAAACAAATGATTTTATTTTCCTTGGATCAACTCTGTCCAACATCTCAGTGATATAATAGATAAGGTGCACTGGACTGCCCCACTACTAATAATTCTGTGAGTTATGAACACTTTCTTCCCATATTCTGGGATAATTCTTAATAATCCTAATGTATCCTTATTTAGGGGGGAAATGCAACATGTGGACATGTTACAGAAAATCTGGTAGCTTATTTCCCAAGAAAGTAGAACATAATATTGTTCAGTAACAGCTTTGATCACACCTGTGAATGTTTGTACCATGGCTCATAATAGCATTTTAAAAGGTTCATAATCTTTTAAATCATAGAAGATTAATGGTTAAATGCTTACCACACTTGAAGCTAGGTGTTTTTAACAAACTTCCTTTCATTTTTTCATGAATTCTGTTGGTATCCTACAGGACTTAGCCATGCACATACTTACCCATACACAGAGTTAAAATATTGTAAATGGATTTTGCTTTAAATTTTTAGATCTGAATCTTAACAACCTAAATAAATTAATTCCACAGTTTAGAAATTCCTCTATCTGGCATCTTTCAATGGGTAGATTAAAGCCCCAATCATTCTCAGTTGGCTGAAAGTAATAGAATGTTAGCCATCAGCTTGAAGAGTACCATTGGGGAACCTAATTATGATTTTAATGTGGAGCAGGATCTGACTAATGAGCACTTACTAGCTTGTAAACATCATAACGAATGAGAGCCAATCCTAAATATAGTTTCAAGAGCCCTTTAGCACAATCCACCAGAGTAGCCTTCACTAATGGAGAGTCCCCTATGTCAATTCCCAGGATTCCCAACCAACATAGCAGCAATCAACTTGGCTCGGAGTCCTTGTGGAGGTCACCAAGCTGTTGCACTAGAGGACAATGCAAGGAGGGTGAATGATGAAATGTACATCATGATATCAACCTCATGACTATATCTTTGCATCCAATGTCATGGTAAAATAATGAAATGTTGAAGTTAATGTTCTGATACTGTGATGCTCATTTAATCGCTTTCTATTAAGAGTTTGTACTGGATATTTACTTTTTGATGGCTGCCTCTAAATTAACATGCCAAATTACAGTCCAACAAAAGAGAAATATTTAGCACTTACTCATGCCAGGAGCAGCCATAACAATGCGGGAAACCACCACCTGAGTTATCCCCTTGATTGCAGCTCTCTAAAATGAACAAACAAGCAAACAGCAATGACACAGTATTCATTGCAGAATATCTAGCCTCAGAAGCAGGGCAATGTTGGTGGGACAATCCTAAATGGCAAGTTCCCCAAACTTTATCTCAACACTGGACAAAATGCTTACTAGGAATCTTTATTAAAGCCAGTGATATCTCCTGTTTGCTAGGAATAGCTCAGAAGTATTCAACTGCATTTAAAATTATAACCTATTAAACCCACACACATTTTTGTAGCTAGAATATTTTGAGCTACATCATAGCTACATGTAAAAAAGGGCAGGAAGGAATTTTTTGGGTTAATTTTTTATTTTGTATTTATTTTTATTTTTTTCCTTCATTTTTATTGGGTTGATTTTTTAATTAACAATGCAATCACATAATCCAAACATAATAGAGCAATATGGGATCAGTCCTTTAAATGCAAATACGCCTGTTAACCGCGACAATATCCACATTTTTCCAAGAAGATATTAAATGTTTAAATATGTATTTTATTTATGGTCAAAGATTGGTTAGTTACATATTATTAGGAAGGCAATCAAAAGACAGTAAAAGAAAATTCTCAAACAGTTAAACTATTTTTAATATATTTATTCATTCACTGTGGGATGCCACCTGAGTCCATCCATTTTCAAACAACTTGCAGAAAAGGAAGAATTGAAGCCTAAAACAATAAGCCCCAGACAGCAACATTTGGCAATTCTATTTGGTCTCCACTCTTCCTTAAAGACAAATCTGCTATTGAAGAGAATCTTTTCTTCATCTGGCTACTAAAGCAATTATATAAAAGGAACATTATAATAGCTATGCTCCAACCTATACAATATAGGGGATGCAGCAATACATACCTAATCATCTCTATTTCTCCCACCAAGCAAGGCAGGGATACTCTTGAATAGACATATTTAAAAAACTTTATTGACCACATGGAAATTAGAGCATTAAACTGGTCCAAAGGAAAAGCTCTCGCGTGTGGCAAAAACAAGATATTAAAAAAAAATATTGTTGAATCAAAGGTCCTCCAGATGGAGGTCACTATAACAGGTGGGTGTCATATTCAGATACAAGTATCCTCAACTTACAGCAGTTCATTTAGTGACTGTTCAAATTATAATGGCACTGAAAAAAAGGACTTACAACTATTTTTCACACTTAAAACCGTTGCACCATCCCCATAGTCACGTGATCAAAATTCATACGCTTGGCAACTGACTCATATTTATGGTGGTTGCAGTGTACTAGGTTCATGCAATCACCTTCTGCAACTTTCTGACAAGCGATGTCAATGGGGAAGCCTGATTCACTTAACAACCATGTTACTAATTTAACAACAGCAGTGATTAACTGAACAACTGTGGCAAGAAATGGGGCAAAACTCACGTAACAAATGTCTCACTTAGCGACAGAAATGGGCCCAATTGTGGCCATAAGTTCAAGGCCTACCTGTATTCCTAATTATCAGCACTGAATACACTTTGCATCAGTTCAGATTTAGTTCTTTCAATAAGGTCAAGTAAGATCAAATATGGGGCTTACAGTTTACAATATGTAAAGTCCACTTCAAGGACAACAGAAAGCTATCCAAAAGGACTAAAGAGGCAAGGGAGCCATAAGTAAAAAATAAACTTTAGCCAGAATTTTCAACATTGGAGCTGCATGCGAGTTTGTAGAGAACCTAGCCTAAATTCCAGATTCAATAAAGCGTTAGAGTCACTCAGAGGAACTCTTAGAAATTTAGAATATGCTGTTTCCGGAAGCTTGGAATTTTATAATTACAAACCTTCAAGCCAAATGGAAGCCTATACTAAAAATATTTATAGTGAGACAAATATAGTTACCATCTCTTTTCCCAGCGAAATGGGGATTCTAAACTTTGTTCAAAGATTTCATTATCTGTCCAATAATATCCACATCTTGCAAACCTCTCTGGAAAGACCACTCACTACCTTGGCACATAGGAGGATGGGTCTTTACAATATGAGTCAAGAGTTAAAAGGAAGGGCTTTAAACCTACTTGTGACTGAGACAGGCCAGATGCATCATCAGCAGTTATGACTGAAATAGATTTATTTGCAGCTTGGAAGATGGAATTTTAATTTGTCAAAGGTGTGAACTAGAGAATAGATATAAATGTTGACAAATAGGGAAACTAGGATACAATTTACTTAAACCTTTTGAACTGAAATCTAAAAAAAACATATTTAATCTGCACTAAGTTATTTTCATGGGTCTTAAAATTAATAATTGTTGACTCTTTATCTACTCTATTGAAGAGACTATCAGAGATTATCCAGAGCTTTGTATATAGGGATTAAATCAAATGCTATATTTAAATAAATAAAAACTGCATAAAGATGCTTCATGGAGAGTTGATTATTAACTAACTAGTACAAAATAATACAACAATCAAGATTTAATTACCCCATCATAAACCAAGAAACAGCTCAGGTTTCATCAAAAACCTCATAATGACTATTATGACAATTGAAACCAATGTAACCATCTCAGAAGGGTGATTTTAATTTTGTGTTTTATTTCTATCTGTGGTCATTATGTGATGCATACTAAGTAAAATCAGTATTCTCCTAATTAGTAAACATCAGTATGGTGATGCTTGAAAGGTAGTGTATAGATTTTTTTAAAAAATCTTAAGTTTGCACAAAACAGTGTAAGCATACTTGAAGTTTTAACTGGATTTGGTTGCAACTGTGGCATCTGGGCCAAGTATACCAAAACTAGATTATTATCATGTCCTTAAGAGCTGTGGTGACACATTGATTAGAATGCAGTACTGAAGGCTGCTGATTGCCAACTGTCAGCAGTTCGGCTGTTTGATTCTCACTGGCTTAAGGTTGACTTAGCCTTCCATCCTTCCAAGGTCAGTAAAACGAGGAGTAAGATTGTTGAGGGCCAATATGCTGACTGTAAACCACTTAGAGGGGGTTGTAAAGCACTGTGAAATGGTATATAAGTCTAAGTGCCATTGTTATTATTGCTGCAGGGAAGATTCATGTGGTATAGGCTGGTAACCTAATCTACAACTTGTATATTTTACTAAAAACATTATGTGAAAATGTCAGTTGACCCAGAGGCTTGCTGAGTGGCTGAAGGGGCCCTCTGATAACTGTTGCCTGGAATGCAAGAGGAGTAAATAGCAGGGTGTTTTAAAATAAAAGAAAAAATGTGTGTCTGTAAAAGCAAGAAAAGAAGGAATATTGTAACAGTCTGTTACTCCTCTATTGGTTTAAAGCACTGTGACTATCTTAATTTTCTACTCTAAAATCGAGAAGCATCTCTACCTTTAAATGTCACTAATTCGATCCATCATCCTAAATTGTCTGACAGCTGATTGCTCCCCACAAGAATGCTGCCTTTTCTCCCTATACTATGTGCATGGAAGTAACCATGGCACATTCTTTAATTTTTAATTAAAATGTGTAAAACCAGTATTTGATTATAAAGCAATATTACAAAATAAAATATAGAACACCAAAACAGCCAGAATGTATTTTAGAAAAAGGGGGAAAAGCAAGGATCTGATAGTCCTATGCTGCTTTTATATCAGTTGCTGTGACCATCAATTCTATTTTTTGAATAATGCTTTTAATTATGTATTAAATAATACATTTTATGATAATATTTTATCTGTTACCAACTTTTATTTTACCGTAAATTTAATCTAAGCGTAGTTTTTCTTTCCTGGACAGAAGAATGGCAGGAAGTATAACAACAACGAAACAGACTGCTTTATAACATCATTAACAATTTTGGTCTTTCTAAGAGTTCTAGTTCCAATAACTAAAATGATATAAATAAGCTAACAATTTTGCATTATGAATCACACATCTTACCCTGTTTTATCCCTGCCTCCACTTTCTCTGTTATCTCCCTTGTGTCAAACTTTATACTTTAAATTCCTGTGAGCAGGGACCTGTCATCTGGTTATCGGTAAGATGCCATGAAAACTGATGCCACTGTATAAATAAACAATAAATAATAATACTAGATATAACTTCTCTAAAATAGCTTGTACAGGAGGTTATGTACTAAAAGTTAAGAACTCCCAATATATAAAGAGATGTGTTACTTGGAATACTGGTAACAAAGTAGGAACATTAAAGCATCTCAAAGAACATTAAAGAATCTACAGAGCATATGAAATTTGCTTTTTCGAGTGAAAGCGGTGGTAATAATTTTCTTGTCAAAGGGATATAATGAAGAGCTCTAAAAATTTTGTTTGAGGGTATATCACAAGCTAATGGTAGATATTCACCACAGGTAGTCAAGATACTTCAGGAATGCCAAAAGTTCCATTATTATCCTTTTCACTTCATTATATCTTGATGAAGTAAGTTGCTGCCTTAAACCTTCAATGGCTTTGAACCAGTATTTCCCTACCTAAGAAATGTCCAGATGTCTGGACTTCCAGAAAGTCCTAGCCAGAATACCGATTCTGAAAATTCTGGGAATTTAAAAAGACATATCTGTACGCTGCTAAGATTGGGAACATAACTCTTCTGTAATCTCACATTCCTTAATCACAATTCTTAGCATTCCCACTAACTGGGAATTCTGGGAGTTATTAACCCAATAAATCTGGAAGGGCATTAGGCTGCAGAAGTCTGTATTGGACAGTTCAACAACTCCAAGCTGCTCTCTCTTTAAGAAATATTAATCTTGCCATCTACTTTTTCATCTGAAATAATCATCATGGGAGTTTGTGGGAGAACAAAAAAACCCCAATTCAACAGATAACACTTGCTGTAACCTGATGTATCAGCATACAAGGCTCTTCTTAGGCAGTCAGGCATATACTGTAGAAAAGATAACTCTAAATGTTCTTGTTTATAAAAATAATAATAATAATAAACCAATTCCAGGATCTCAAAGTCCCAAGATAATGGTACTTACCCTGGACTTTCCCAGAGTATTGTCATTTTCATCTGTCACTGTGATCCCATTAATGAGTTCCCTAATGCAGACACAAAGACATGACCTTAGACATTAAGATCAACCAGCTAGATGTCGTGGGTTTTTTTTTTTTTGTACTACTCAAGGAAGCATACTAAATGCAACCATTCCTTTTCTCTCCACCACAACTAATCTGTGAGATGAAGAGAGCTGGGAAAGAGTGGCTTGTCCTAAGTTACTCAGCTGCCTTGTCATTTTTAAAAATGCTGCAGGAATACGGTTATATTCAGTTTAAATCAAGAGACTCAATAAAAAAAAAATATTTGCAGGAATGTAAAGCTCCATCAGCCTAAGAACAATTACATTGCAAAGAAAGTCCACACACTTGAGTTACTGAGTATCTGACACCATTGATGGTGCACTGCTGCATCCTAGAGAATCCTATTCCTAATTATCACCAAACATTCTGAGGCTTTAGATACTCAGCAACTCCAAATAGTAATTTGAATGTCAAAATAAAATCTGGGTAAAATGAAGGTGGTGACAAATTGTTTTTTTTAAGTATCCATCAATATAAATCCATCAGGGGATTTTTCAATTGAGACATAAACTGTTTAAGAATGAATAATCTTAAACCAGAGCAAGCTGATAAAAATGTGCTGTTTTATATAATTTTTCCATTTTCCAAATGTTCTGAAATCCCACCCTGTACGGTCCATGGTTGTCCCACTGATGGCTGTTGTTAACACTTGTTATAGCTGGCCCAAACCTTCAGCTAGCTAATTAGTGGAGTGCCAAAATTGCACTCCTATAGCACTCAAATCCACTTGTTTCATTAGGCCTGTTCTGCATTAGCTCCATGATTAAAGACATGGTTTCTGGCTGATTAGTCATTCTAAAGCCCAATATGGGACACACTACATGGCATGGCATTTTTAATAAATGTGCTAATATAGTTTGTCAGTTATGGGGAAGAAGCATCAAGATTTGGTAGGACTTCCTGCCAGTCAAAAACAGGCCAAGCTATAACCTCAGGAATAACAGAATCTCCCAATTTGGGAAAGACAAGTTTTACAATGTGAATTTTTGGCTAGCTGAGATGGAAGAGAAGCTGCTGAGTAAGGACATGGGAGCCTTACCTAAACCCATTAGGGAAGTGCTCTGAGAAATATGCTTCAATATTGATCAATTACACCAACCTCACAACTACTTAATATATAAATAGTCTACATCTGATCCAACAACTGTAATTTTAAACAGAAGATTTAGAAAGTATCATGTTGCTTTCATAATATCAAAACACAATTATTGTGATGTTTTATATGGGACTTTGTGCTTCCTTCATTAACTTTTTTCTAGACAGGGTAATAGTAACATCTTTATGCTATGTTTTATTATGTTTAATTAAAAAAATAAGATTTCTTTCTGAGTAGCGGGTGCCAAAATATATTCTTATGACAGACTAATATTTAATTATTTTCTCTCTTATTAACTTTTCCTGGTTGTACACAAAATGAAAATGCAGTTATGGAGAAAAGCATCATTTAATTAACATTTTTATATAAAGTTTTATGACACTAAAGTTTTGTGACACTATATATATATGTATGTATGTATGTATGTATGTATGTATGTGTGTGTATATATATATATATATATATATATATATATATATATATATATATATATATATATAT